ATATCACCAGTTCATCGCGAATTTTTCTACCATCGCCGTTCCACTGACGCGACTAACACGAAAAACGCGAGTTGGGAATGGGGCTCGGAGGAACTAGTCACTTTTCGAGCTCTAAAACAAGAACTAATTTCAGCGCCGGTACTCGTCTATCCGGATTACACCCGCCGGTTTTTCCTACAAACGGATACCAACAGCACGAGCCTCAGAGCCGTTTTAACGCAGAGATACGCCGACGTCGACTGCGTCATTGCCTACACAAGGCGCACGCTCAACGCGGCCGAACGAAATTATATCGCGACCGAACTCGAGTGCCTCGCAATCGTTTGGGGATGCAAAACTATTTGGGGAGCTACGCCTTTACGGTGGTAACTGATCATCAGGCACTAAAATGGTTGAGAAAACTCGAATCGCCGAACACTTTGGACGATGGAGCCTCAAGTTACAACAACACAAATTTGACATTCAGTACCGCCGAGGGATACTTAACCGCGTTGGGGACGCTTTGTCGCGTCAACCATCAAACTACGCTACACGCACCGGCCACTGTAAGTGGTACAGAAAGATTATGGAGGAGGTCCGGGAAATCCCGGAAACCCGCCCGGAATATCGATTTAGCGAGGGACGACCGCCATATATTACACAGTTTAAAATTTAAGAAGACGAGTTTGGAACAACAGTGGGAGCTATGCATCCCGAAGCCATTACGACAAGCCACCATGAAGAAATTCTACGACGCTCTCACTGTGGATACCTGGGAATCGTGAAAACCATCGCGAGGATTGCCGAGAGATATTATTGGAATGTTCCAGGATATCGGAAAATACGTCCGGGCGTGTAGGAATTGCCATAAGGACGCACAAAAACGGCCCGCCAGGACCTTGCACGCCACGCTCCCGACTTTGGGAACAGGCCACCATCGATTTGGTTGGGTCATTGCCTAGATCGAAGAAGGGGCATACCTAGCTCTTTTCCGTTCAAGATCGCTTTACGAAATTTCAGCAGAATTTGTCTCACTTCGCCAAGCTACTGTCGAGGCAGTAACAAAAGCGATCACGGAGAACCTCGTGCTACGTCACGGAAGACCGGACGCTATCCTCACGAACAATGGCACACAGCTGAGATCAAAGCTGAAAGAACGACTAATGGCCCTGAACATTCAGCACCAGCATACGTACCGGATTGTAACCCGATCGAACGGACAAACAGGACGATCAAAACAATGATTGGCCAATACGTACAAAAAGATCACCGCTCGTGAGACGAACAGCTATCCGCGAGAGTGTCCCATTTGACCATATTAATATTGACCATGATGATATTGATCACATTGATATTGATCACGGTGATATTGACCACAGTTCTGATTGACCATAGTTCCGATTGACCACAATGATATTGACCACATTGCGATTGTCCACCTTACCTATCGGTGGGGTGGTTGCGGGAGAGGTGCCGAAGGCCTCTTTGCATCCCCCGCACGCGCGCGGACTGTGGTCAATATCGACGTGGTTAATATCAATGTGGTCAATATCACCATGGACAGTATCACTGTGGTCAATATTAACGTGGTCAAACGGGTTTCACTGTCGTAGGACCCTTCGCTGCGCGCCTACACACTTATCGCTCTTCCCCTCTCCAATCATTGCTTCGCTGCGCGCCGGCATTACGTTACAATGAGACCGTTTTCGCCGCCTCGCATTTCTAGCCACGCGCATTGGTCGATTTTCTTTAATTTATTTCTCGTTAATTATTGCGAATATTGCATAACTGTTACGTCCAGAGGAGCTCACGATTCTTTTCTTTTCCTTATCTGGTGCACATGTGCACGACTTCCGAAAATCGTTAATGATAGTTAAATTGAAATAGGATTCTCAGTAAATACTCCAGAATAACAATCAGATATTCACGGACTGATAAAAGTAGCATCTAGCTAAATAAGGCGGTAATCAGTTAGACGAATTTGATATTTTCTGATCACAAAAAAAAAACTCACAAAATTCAAACAAGCTACAGAAAATAAAGAAAACTATTTACAAAACGTGAGTGAGCGGATGTCGCGACAAGCACCCGTTTTATCAAGGGGGTAGTAAAAGTCATCCCCTTATCTCCAACAGATGCATCTTACAAAGCATAAATTATCACCATTCCCGATACTGAGAATCCTAAGTCCCCCGTTTTGGAAGATGCTCTCCTATTCGCGGACAAATGTAATTAAATTCTGATTTGTTGCATTTGTTTTAAAATGTTCATAAGTAGGGACAGGAAGAAGACCACGAAAATCTAACGAGGGTTTCTATTCGTCAACTTCCCTTATTCCTCACGATGGGAGAGGGTAATCCAAAACGATATATAAGCGCGAACTTTGGACAAATCGACACTTAAAAATACAGTCAGATATACATTCATTCTTTCTGCGGTTGCTAGTTCACCTATTTGCTCAGTTACATATTTACGTAGTTGCTCGGTTATATATTCGCTTATCGAGTCAGTGCAAAAACCTACACCAAGAGGGCCCAGCAGCAACCACCCTCTTCAACAACTATCAATTCAGCTAATATCTCACCATCCTCAATGCCAAGGGGGTCCAGCAATAATTCATATCGATTTGTCCACGGTTTTTCAAGTAGTAAGTCTTATTTTTTTTAAATTTATTAAGTTCCTCTTCCCCCATCTTCCTTTATTGATAATATTCGCTTCCCTAGTGGAACCTTCGAGGAGATCCGCTAGAATTCACGCAAAGCGTCTCCGATACCGACACAATCGTCGTACCCGCCGACTACTGGCTCGGGCTGTCGCCGACCCTTCTTTTACTCTGAATTTAAACGACATAAAAGCGAATCTTCCCATCACTCGAATTTTTTTTAATAGTCTTCAAGGACACACGCGAGATTCCTCACATCCGCCCCCTCGCACTCCTTCCCCTAATTACTCCCCGTACCTGTCTCCGGGAACTCTTCCTCCAAGCTATTCCCCAGTGTATGACACACAACCTGATTTTCCACAATTATCACCTTCTCCTTCTCCACCCCACTCGCCAGTCCCAGATCCTCATCTATTGTCTCCTCCTCCTCTTCCTTCCCCTGTTTACTCCGACATCGATCTTAGTGATCGGATCGTCTCCGAAATTCTCAGCTCGACTTATCCTCTGTACTCTCACCCCATCCTCCCGGGCCAATTCACCTTGGGCCCTGGCCCTATTCATATACCTACCTTCAAAGCTTTTCTCCGGACTGCCCCTCCTGACACCTGCATCTCCTATTTTACTCCCTTCACCCATTACCCTATCGCTATTTCCGTAGAATTCTTCCGGGAAAGATATCCTCCAGATTCCGACCAACCTCACCCCGTCTCGCATACACCCACATATACACACAATCACGCTTAATGTACCCACAAACATACAAATAATCACACTTAATATTGTATTAGAGCAATAACTAACTAAAATGTTTATGTAAGTTTTATCTTTTTATAATGTACAATAAATCTAATTAATTTTATTTCTTTTAAATCCAACTTAATCAATTCCCCCTCCTCACCCACGCTCCTGAATCGCACTAGGTCCCGTCCCGGGTAAAAAGGATTAAGTCCTTTACCAAAAAGGGGACCGTCGAGCGACCATTCGGACCAAAAATAGAGTAAAATCGACTCTTGTGGTCGTTGACCTATCTTTGGCTCTCCCGCAGGCTCGCTCGACCCGAGACACTTGCCCTTAAAGCACCTGTTCTCGGGATACAAGTGTTACGCCCTTCCTTCGGCCCATCCTTCCTCGGGCCTGGACGTAACACATAACTGTACAAGACTTTTCTTCTAACTTTGAGCCAATCTACCTTAATTTTTTAAAATAATGATTACTTTCATGACCTGTATATATATTACATGTCCGAAAATTATATATTGTTTATTATTAGTATTTTTATTGAAAAAATTATATTCGACCAAATTAGCCAGAAATTTCCTTTATTTAATACGATGTTTCGACCATATGGTTGTGGTCCTTATCAAGTATATACGATGAAATATAATAATCAGGAGGCAAACATAGCGCTTGTAAAAACCATCACGAGTCACAAATAAAAAACGTTATATAATTAAATTCAAAAACGAGAGAGACTGATGCGTCCATGTGAGACTTCGTTGAAAAACAGTTTTTCGAAAAACTGTTTTTCAACGAAGTCTCACATTGACGCATCAGTCTCTCTCGTTTTTGAATTTAATTATATAACGTTTTTTATTTGTGACTCGTGATGGTTTTTACAAGCGCTATGTTTGCCTCCTGATTATTATATTTCATCGTATATACTTGATAAGGACCACAACCATATGGTCGAAACATCGTATTAAATAAAGGAAATTTCTGGCTAGTTTGGTCGAATATAATTTTTTCAATAATCCTTTGATTATTCGACTAGCGATTATATCTTTTCTACATTTATTATAGTATTTTTGTTAATAACTTATTAATAAGTAACGAGCGTGGCTAAAACCTTTCTAATATTACTTATAGATATTACAGAATGTTGATCTTGACAACATATGTGAAAATGATTAAAATTATTAAAATCTGAAGCAGTTTCAGTAAATGTTTACTTTAGGTTACATAGCTCGTAAATTTTTTACTTTGACATATATTGTAAAGAATTTATTCCTAAGTAATATATAGTTTGAATTTTCGACAGTCTCTCTTCGTTCCTGAGATATGCAATTTTGAAATTTCATACTTACTTGTATTATCTTCTCGGGTAAAACTACATACTAGCGACGACTTCATCAATTTCGATGACTTTGACATATGTTGTTAAGGACCATTCTCTGATTAACTTGCAAAAAGTTTTAGTCGTCCTTTATTATTTATTACAAAGTTATTTATAAAATAAATTCAATAGTCCTGCATAAGTTTTTAACTTTTTATGTAAAATGAGATCTATTCCATATTGCTCCCTGTCTTCAGTGCGAAACTTCGCTTTGTCTTGCAAAGTACGAGATGTGTTCAAAAAAAAAAGGTGACTTTTCAAATTTCGCGGGCTACGTACATTCGATTTTGGAATTTTTTTGTTGTTATGTTGGTACACATGTCCCCAACATATGTTGACATTATCAGCTGTTTTGCATGTTTGGTTTGTTTTTCACAGATATAAGGGTTAGACGTGTTTTGGTGTGTTTGGCGATTTTTTGCTATCGAAAAATTAAATTTTGTGTGAAAAATAAAATTAAGTGCTCTGACGTACTTGAAATGTTGACTGCGGTATTTAGCGAGTCTACTCTGAGCAAAAAAAATGTTTACAAGTGGTACAAGCTCTTCACAGAAGGTCGAGAAGATGTTAATGACGATGCCCGCCCTGGACGCCCCAGCACGTCAACAACCGATGACAACGTCGAAGCAGTGAAGAAAATTGTTATGGAGAATCGTCGAATTACTATTAGAGAAGTTGCTGAGGATGTCGGCATATCGGTTGGCTCATGCCATGCAATTTTTTCGGGTGTTTTGGGCATGCAACGTGTGGCGGCGAAGTTTGTTCCGAAATTGCTGAATTTCGACCAAAAACAACGTCGTGTAGACATTGTTCAGGAGCTGTTGAATGCCGTCAACGACGATCCAGATTTGCTCAAAAGGGTCATAACTGGTAACGAATCATGGGTATATGGCTATGACGTCGAAACCAAAGCCCAATCATCCCAATGGAAGCGGCCAGAAGAGATAAAGACCGCACCGCTGGAAGAGCTCGAGATCATACAAAAAAGCGCATATCAAAAGTGTTTCGAGGATTGGAAAAAGCGCTGGCACAAGTGTATAATTTCTGAGTGGGATTACTTTGAAGGGGACAAAATAGATATTGATGAATAAATAAATATTTTTCGAGAAAAACAAAAAGTCACCTTTTTTTTTGAACACACCTCGTACATGCATTGATACAGTCGGTTTCAATTCGGCCCTTCCTACAGAGGAACTTCACTTCCGAAAGATATAACCTTACCCAAACCTACTTCTGATTTAAAACAAACCTGATTAAAAGATTAGAAAAAAGTGTGTAAATTATATCTTTTGGAAGTAGAGCGAAACGGACTGCGTCGACGCATGTATATTTCACTTTGATCCTCGCAGATAGTGAATTTTGTTTCAAAATATATGTATGGATGCAATGGCTTCCAACCCTCTACGGAGGGCTTCACTTCTGAAAGATATAATCTAACCCGAGCCTATTTCTGATTTACAACTAAAACTTAATTTGTGTTATGTTATATAATTAGTATCGTACTTTCGCGTATTGTACAAGAAATTTTTTTCGAAGTAGAATATAAAAGAAGGCAGAATTCCACCTACGCGTTTCACTTATCACACGTAAATGTGTGAATCAGTGTGATGAGAGCGTTCATAAGATGCATAATTACCCATTAAAATTATCAAATGTAATGTCTCTTTTTTGTGAATTTACTATGTTTATGTTATCTGCGAATTTAGTACTTATGCTTATATTTATATTATCTGCGAATTTATTACTTATGTTTATGTTTATGTTGTCTATAAATTTACTGTTTATGTTTATGTTTATAAATAAATCATGTAACCATTTTGAACAGAAGACATTTTAATAAGTACACTTATCTTTCGCAACCACTATGAAAAATGGCCATCCACAGTGCTACATTATTTTTATCTTTGCTCCGGCCATACACAGCGCTTCTGTATTCATGCTCCGTACTGAAAGGGTTAATAAATAACGAATAATAAATAACGGCTAAAATTGTTTGAGGATTATTCGGAGTAATAATCTTGACAATATATTATATGATCAAAGTCATTGGTGAGGTCTATCATTGTATAGTTCCACATGAGTTTATAATTTTCTATGCGAAGCAAGGTATGTAACATACTTCAGACACAGGTTGGGTTGAGTTATTAAGTATCTTCCGAAATGAAGCTCCACCATAGGAGGAGGACGAAATTCACTGTGTTCATGCATGTATTTTGCAAGACAATCCTAACTTATGCATATGCAAGAAAATCCTAAACTATGTATACAGGGTATTTGGAAATTCAACCGACAAATTTTCAGAGATTGTCGGGGGCACTATAAGAATCATTTTTTGCAAATGAACCTGGGATCAAAAACGTGTCATTACATCGCTACGACATACGGAGTGTTCGAAAGAATCGGGACCTCGAAATATCACAAAAAATTGTTTCAAACAAAAGTTGTAAGGTGTAAAAAGATCTATTTACTGACGCCATGTGTTGACCTTGGATGGCGTCACCAAGGTCACGACAAGACCACTTTGAATTTTTGAAATGGAACCCTCCACTTTTTATTGCATATTCTTGTAGCCCTTCTCGAGACCTTTTCAAAGCTAATTTTATCAACTTTAAGTAAGCCGTTTCGAAGTTATTGAGCTTTTCATGGTAAGATGGTTTTTATTTGTTCGAATGTCTGTAATAAAAAATGGCTCAAAATATCATACGCATTGGTCAATTATAAAAGTAAATCCATCATCATTTATCACTTCTACTTTCATTCGCGGATAATAATACGAGAGCTACAGTCGTCGACTTATTAGGAAAAACTTTATAATTTCAATAATTCGTCTCTTTCGAACACTTCGTATGCCGTAGCGATGTAATGACACGTTTCCGACCCCAGGTTTATTTGCAAAAAATGATTCTTATGCTCCCGACAATCTCTGAAAATTTGTCGGTTGAATTTCCGAACACCCTGTATAGTGTCCAAAAATTACGTGTGATTTATGAAACTTTTTGGTTTTTTTTGATTTTGGTTCTTTTTGATTTTTTTTAAACAACAAGCTAAAATCTTCTAAAGGTTACTCAAAAGCGCGACCTCAATGTATATGTCAAGATATCAGAAGTTGCTACCCTAAAGTAAATAATTACTTTGCTATTTTGAATGCGATTTTTGCAACTTTCTATCATAATAGAATTAACATTTGGTAATGATTTAGCACATCAAAAACTGTAAGAAAAAATATATAAAAAAGGTTCCATTGTCATGACCAAAAATCCGATTATTTTACTCATCGTCCTTTAAAGAGAAAGAAATAATTTAATGTAATATAAATTATTACATTACTTTTTATATTACATTAAGTAATCAACCAATATAATTACTCCACTAGACTATAAAAATTATTTTAAATAAATATTGATATTAAAACGATTTTGTGAATTTTATTTCTCTTTAGAGTATCAAATAATTCAAAGCATGCATAAAGATAGCACACTTGGGATTGCATTCTGTAATATAAAAGAAAAGTGTAAGAGAAAAGTGACTTGTGAAGTATAAGTTGATATCAACATTCGTCTTATTTTACAATACTGACTAAATACGAACAAATATAAATACGTTTTATGAAAGCGTTCAGGTTTTTGAATCTAATTTATCGGTTCGGTATATCAAGATTTCTGATAGATTTGTTATACTTACAGAATCAGTCAGTTTCAAAACTGACATGACTGTTTTGAAAAATGTACGAATGCGATCTAGATGTATAAAATATAATAGTCATGTCCAATCTTACTGAAATGCTATATCATGCCTATATCAATAATATAATTACGAAAATATGGATAAGTGTAATAGCCTTTTATTTTGAATCAATTTCTAGATGTGTACTGTATATGTACACACATATGTATTGTCAGGTATTTAAAGCGTTAATATTTTTCTTATATTACAGATGTCAAGAATGTCCCGTGATAAAACCTACGTTTCTGTGTGGAAACGATAATCGTACATATAGTTCACCATGTCGTCTCGAATATCATAATTGCATTCACCATACGTCCGTCCACATTGCCTGCAAAGGTTTTTGTCCATGTAAAGGTAAGAAATATTTTTATCTTAAATTAAGTTTAAATTGAAGCATTGGTTTAATTTCGGATAAAGAAAAATTCTAGTAAATATTAAGCATAATTTCGATAATATATGCATGAGAATGCCAAAATTATTATTCTTCTACTATAAATATTTTTTATACAGGGTATCCCAAAAGTCCCGGAACAGTCGAATATTTCATAAACTATGCACTTAGAAAGAAATGTTTAAGACAAAAGTTGTATGTTTTGAAGGGGGACTTAAGATGGTGCCATTGAGACAAGCTACAAGAATATGTAAAAGTATATAAGGTATCCCGTTTAAAAAGTTGAAGGTGACCTTCACGTGACCTTTAAGTAACTGTTCAAGGTCAAACTAATGGCACCATCTTATGTCCCCCTTCAAGCCTATAACTTTTGTCTGAAATATGTTTTTCTAAAGTGCATAGTTTATGAAATATTCGACCGTTCCGAAACTTTTGGACATCCTGCATAATAAAAAATGTTGTAGTATAAACTTTTTAAAAATAAAATCAGAAATATTAATTGCTGATTAATTTTTTAATGTAATATATTATAATGTAAAAAATTTTTAATAGATTTAATATCCTCTTATACAATTAACAAAATTTGCACTTATTATTTTTTCACATACTATACACCTTCACATACTATACACCTTCTATTTTAAAAATAATCGGAATGGCTTTAAAGAAAACAAAAATAGTTAGGAAATCTTGACTTCAGCAAAAATACAACGATTTGGACGTCCAAGTGTATCAAATGACTTTTTTATTTAATAATTAAAGATTTGACTGAAGTAATCTAAAAATTAAAAAGAAAATAGCATAAGAGCCAACGCGCGGTAGTTGGAGCGCAGAGAAGCAACAACACTTCTTTTTTTTTCAATATTAATTTATTAAAAACACATTATAATAACAAAAAGCGAACGTTTCGAATCATTTTTTGATCCTTCTTCGCGATGTTAACAATATATATTACAGATAGTGACGCGTTACATTAAACGAATTTGTTCTCAACGCGTAGGTGACGCTAAATTACATCCTGCGGAGGTCTAGTAAGCGCTCTGCTTCCAACAGTCAATTAAATATATTATAGTTATGCTATGCGACGTCACAGCAGACCTAACAAATCGAGTGAAAACAATAAAATAAATACCGAAAGATATTACACGTGAATGAGCTTTTTTTGCCTAAATTAATAGTTAGAAGCATGGCTCACCAGACTCTGCGTTTTTTACAATTAATAATATAGTATGCCGCTATGCGCCTCAGGTCGATTCGAGATTCGATGACGAGCTGTAAATCACATCCAACGAAATATCCGTCACAACGGTTCGGTTATAACTAATCACAGATTGGAATTCGATCATTTTAATTGGGAAGAATCTGAGTTTGACAGGGAGTCCTCGTTGAGCAAAAGGCTTGTCTCTGAAATGCTGTTTACCAAGCGCCAAAAAAATAGTTTGAACTTGTAAATTGATACAGAGGACTTGCATCATACATTTGCGACGATAATTGATAATTGATTATCGAAAATATGAGGGCGTTCGTTGATGCGTCGGTATGTTTGTTACCGTTCAATCAACTGCGCATGTCCTTTGTTGAGTCCATGTTTATGCCACTGTGATGCCAGAATGATTACGTTGGCAACAGCAAATTATTTCGCATAGAGTATAGCTCGGCGTTCCTCAATACCACTCGACCCCCGACTGTTCCACAGAAACGTCGAGCTATTTTCGATTCTCAATATTTAGGGCGAATTATTGTCTTGAGTATTCCAAGTTCTATTTTCATGAATCTCATTGAAGATTTTTTCGGAATTTTCACGAAATAACGTACTTTTTTGACATTTTCTTTGGTCATTGTTTCAATTTATCAGCCTGAACGTTTATCATCATCCACATCCTCTTTGCCTTCTCTGAAGGTCGATGCCATTCAGAAACTTGTGTTTGTGATAAAGAATTACCTCTATAAGCGATTTTAAGCATTTAGAATGTTTCCGTAGCACTTTTACCGTTTTTAACATACACTGAAAAAAAGGCTTGGTTATAATAATCCAAACTTGATAAATGTTACCGTTGTGGTGAAATAATTTCAACTAAACGTATAGGTGATTAAGACGAAATAATTTGATTAATGTTAACAAATAATTTTAGCAAAACTTAATACAGTTTGATTATTAACAAAGTTTGATGATTATTATCAAATAATGTTAAGTATTACCAAACGATTTGATAAGTATAAACAGATTGTTTATTAATAATTATTGAATTATTTGATAATTATTACTAATACATATGATAATTATAACAAAATGATATAATAAATATAAATACATAAATATAAATACATATGATAATTATAACAAAATGATATAATAAATATAAATGAATTTCTTATTAATAATTATTGAATTACTTAGTAAATATTACCTAATAGTACGATAAGTATAACAAATCAATTTGTAAATATAAATAAATTATTTAATAATAATTACCAAATTATAAAATTATATGATAATTATAAAGAGATGATTTAGTAAATATTAGCAAATTACTTAGTGATAGTTATTACACTATATATATATTACATATATAAATTCTTAAAATATTGAAATATTTTCTTGTAATTTTTTGTATGAAAGATTTTATTATAGGATATTAAATAATTAAATAAATTAGTTTTAACAAAATGTGAAATAACTATGTAATATATAATATGTAATATTATTTGAATATAAAATATTCAATGAGATTTACAATTATAAACACATTTAGTTAAAATTAATTTTTTTTATTATTTACTAGGTGCGCAACTAAGTTTCCGGGTTTCACACATGGTCACACAACGACAGATGTAGTCGACATTACATGTCTGAAGTTGTTTATTTTTATAGCTCTGACATCTGTCAACAATTACCAGTCATAATACCAACACGTGTCGCAACGCAAAAATATTTTTTCTAACAATGGAGATGTCGAGTTTTGTGCCAAATAAACAGCATTTGCGGGAAGCTCTGCTTTTCTGCTTCAACTTGAAAAAAAAATGCAGCTGAAGCACGTCGTTTGCTTGAAGAGGCTTACGGCGAACATGCACCATCGAAAACAACCTGTGAAGATTGATTTAAACGCTTCAAAAGTGGTGATTTTGACACTAAGGACAAGGAGCGCTCCGGAAGACCAAAAACAATCGAGGACGCCGATCGGCAAGCGTTATTGGCTGAAGATGATACGCAAACACAAGATCAACTCACGGAGGCATTAAACATGACTCGTCAAGGTGTTTCCAAACGTTTGCATGCCATGGGAAAAATTCAAAAGGAAGGAAAATGGGTGCCGCATGAATTGACTGAGAGGCAGATGGAAAATCGAAAAGCCACTTCAGAAATTTTGCTTTTGCGGTATGAAAGAAAGAGTTTCCTGCATCGAATTGTTACTAGCGATGAGAAGTGGGTGTATTTCGAGAATCCCAAACGCAAAAAATAGTGGCTTTCACTTGGCGAAGCATCAACATCGACGGCGCGGCCAAATCGCTTCGGAAAGAAGACAATGCTCTGCGTTTTGGTTGCAAGCTGTTGAAACTAGACGAAACTGTTAACGGGGAACGCTACCGACAACAACTAATCAATTTGAGTCATGCGTTGCTCGAAAAACAGCCAGACTGGGACACAAGACACGAACGAGTGATATTGCGGCACGACAACGCTTCGTGCCATCGCACTTCCATCGTCCAGGACACCATCAAAACGTTGAAATGGGATCTGCTACCACACCCGCTATATTCACCAGACCTGGCCCCTTCTGATTATCACTTGTTCCGGTCAATGGCGCATGGCTTGGCTGGGCTACACTTGACCAGTTTCGAAGAAGTGCGGAATTGGATAGATGAATGGTTTCGGTCCAAAGACGCGTCGTTCTATCGTCGCGGTATTCATATTATATTGCCAGAGAGATGGCAAAAATGTGTAGCTAGCGAGGGACGATACTTCGAATAAACCGCTTTTTGTTTCTTTCTTGAAATTTTGCATTTTTCATTGATCAAAAAAACCCGGAAACTTAGTTGCGCACCTAGTAATATCCTATAATAAAATATTTTACACCAAATATTACAAGAAAAAATTTTATAAGAATTTATATATGTTTTGTACTCAAAGATTGACTTATGAATATAAATAAAATATTTATTTATTTATTTGAGAAAAGATTTTGAAATGTTTATTAACACAATCTAATACAAAATACATTGTTTATATCTACATCTTATATCTATAAATAAATCTAGATACGACAAAATACGTATAAGTTCTTACATTAATTTTTTTATAATTTTCTATGAAAAAATTTCAATAATGTAGCAATAATATCAAATATTTTGATTAACTAAATAACTTTTAATGTATTATAATTTGATTATAAAAAATATTTATTATCTCCTAAATAACACTTAATATATCCTTAATTATAAATCATGCAAAATAGTCCTTAAATATTAAATATTGAAATAAAATATCTGCCATCATCCGAAATATGATAATTGCATGTTCTTACATTCAATGACTTTAAAATCTTTATTACATTAATTCTGTCTGATTATTTCCGCAAGGTAAAGAAATCTCATATGCTTTGAAATGCATATCTAAACCTAAAGTAACACATTTTCTGTAGTAAACAAAAATATTTCTATTTTTATCCAACATAATATGAATCATTATTTCGAATAATAAATTGTTTTCATCAGAATTTGCAATTATTACAAAATTACGTTTAAATAAAATGCTATTAAATTTTACCCACGACACTTCAGTCAAGCGCCTATTACTTATTTGGAAAATGTTAGTCAATTCATTTGACGGTATTCCTATGTTTCTTCCTATTTTTAATAAGTCATCGATATCTGTGTTGATTAATAATCTATAAGAAAATTGAAGGTATAATTTTATCACAAGTGATGAAATAATATTTCTTTCCGTTAGCGCACGGTGCGATAG